GTTCATCACTGTGAATGCAACACCTTTGACGAACCTGTTTGTGTGTATGGGGGAAGGGGATAGTCAGTCTGCCTCTTTCAGGCACTTTGATTTTCATCTGCATGATTCTAGTGGGTAGTCTCATCAATCTCGTTCAATGGTGCGTACACCGCTGTGTTCAGACACCCATACTCTTTCGTACCTGTCACCGGATCACGGACACTGGCGGGTTAAAGCCTACTATGATCACCAATCGGACTCGCTCAGTTGAGTAGTGTTTTCCTATGGGGAAGGTTTTAGACACTCGTTAGCACCGACCCTCGATCGCACCTCTCACTGTCAGACACGCTCACAAAGGAAGAATACAACTGTCGCGCACGAACGTATATTGACGCACGGAATGAACGACAAAATGCAATGTACAAACTGTATCTGCGGAGGGGGAGTACACAAGGTTCGTATCGATTTTGAGTTCTCGTGTATTTCCTGACTCATCTGTTTGTTCGTTGTTATTGTTCACCGTATTCAACCATTGTGCGCTTAAAAGGGACAGGGGACGTAAGACAATTATTAGTACTATCCGATCATTTCGGTTTCAGTGTCGTTACATGATCGAGCGATTAAGGGCACCATTCCAGCAACATGGAGGTCGTACGCTCAAATCCCTCTTCGTCTGTCCCCGTTTCTGTATTTCCCCATTCAGCCATTGATTGCCCCATCAACTGGACCGATATGTATTCAGTAAACAAAAAAGCAAACGAAACTTATTATATTCGTATAATCTTGTCCGTTACGGGAAGGAAGTGAAGATAGGATATCAGAGTTCGAAAACCGCGTTTCATGTGTATGGCGAGGGCAACTGGACAAGGAATGCCATTTGGCGCAGTTTTAGGTACGTGCGATCAATCACTAAGGCAATCAATCTACCTTCGTAGATAGAGTTTGTTGGAGCACTTGTTTTCCCATGTCACCAGATAGGCTTCCTCGACGGGTGATGTTTGCCGAGACAGTCCCTAGGTGAAAGAAAGTCTGACTAAACCTAACCAAGGGACTCAGTCACTAAGGTTGCGTCGCCTACCTGGATTGGGTCCTCGGGATCAGCGTATTCGATTATTGGTGACACTCAGTTATGCGGTTGAGCGTCACATTCACTGAATTTCTTCGCGACCTAAGTTCTCTCTCTTCACCTTGTTGCTGCTGCTACCATCGTTCTGATGCCCCCTCTACTCCTTCATCCAAATAGTTGGCCAAAAGACAGCATCCAAGACCGCCACACGAAATTGCGTGATCAATGACCGGATAAAACTGAAACTGAATTGAAAACTGCGTGATCGGGATGAGTGCATATGTTGACAGTGTGGACACCAGTGGTGACGGATATTGACACGTTTCATCATGCACTATAGTAGACAGATTGATTGTTCAGACCTGAAGCTCGTCGCCTCGATAAAACACTCAGTGGAAGGATCTGTCGCTTACCGTGATAGTCATCTTTATCACATGATTGTGTGGATATCGCTATCCCTGTTCAGTTCAGGTCAGTTTGCACAGCCATTGACCAAGCACTTTCGTGCGCCAGTTTTGGTTACTGTCTTTTGGCTGCACATTTCGATGAGGCAGCAGGAGAAAGACAGGAAAGTTGAAAATAGAGTCGAAAGGAAATTGGAGAATTTCATTGAACTAATGTTGCAAAGAAATTGAGACAATGCGCGAACGACACTCAGCCATATCACTCAGTGTCTCTAATCATCGGTTACGATCATCCCGAGGTCCCCGGCCGCCAGGAATCCTAGCGGGACCTCGTATGTAAGGTGTTAACTTGACCACCCCTGACTCTTTTCTACTCACTGTCTGCCTCGGCGAACATTGCGCGCCGTGGCCATCTCGGGTGGCGAGCAGAGTGGTCAGTTTATACTGTTTGACGAGCATGGTTTCAGTTTCGCTAGAGATTGTGTGCGTTAATTGCAATGGTCATTTTTTTAGTGTCATTTGATAGAAGCATCTTTCTCATTGTGATTCGATCATTGTCATAATTATCCCCATCACCCCGTTTGTTGTTATTGTTGTTGTTGTTGCGTTGGCACCATGCTTGTTCGCAAGCCGATGATAATTATATATATATATATATATATTGGTTACTACGTTATTACTCCTCCGTAATTTTTTTGTTTACTAACAGGAAGAGTTAGAATTGATTCAAGATCCCGACGATGAAAATGACGCACGTTCTGGTGGTAATACACGAAGTTCGCGATCACTGACCGGCTCTTTCGCAAAACCAGCAGTCCAAGTCTCGTCCCCGAGGAAACGTCCACCTGCTGTCAGCCCCGGGTCTACGTTGCCCACCAAACGTCCAACTCATCCCGTTACTCCACCTAGTCGTGCCATGACTGTGGCGGAGAAGAAACGACAAATTACCAACTCCAATGGATGCGCTTCGACACAGAAACGTACCGGATTGCCTCTTCCCACAACAAATCAGCGCCAACCTCCCTCAGGTGGTCTTGTTCCGAAAGTTCAACGAGAAGCACCTGCGAAGGTAATCCCTATTTACGGGGCTTGTCCCACAGCATTTTCCCTCAATCGTTCTAATTTATTGTTCCACTTTACCGTTCTGTTCTGATGTAATTGTCTACGGATTTTCTTCCAGAACCGGCGAGTGGTCGTTATGGACGAAGAAGAGGAGGAAGAGGAAGAAGAAGAGGAAGAGGAGGAGGAGGAGGAGGAAGAGGAAGAGAAGGTCGAAAAGATGGCACGCAAAAATGCTTCTCGGGCAAAACCGTCGGACAAAACCAAACCCACTAAGGCACCACCATCGACTGCAGTTGAAACGACCAGTGAACCAAAGACACTCGTGAGTCACCTTGGAATTTTCCCTTCGAACTATGATATGCATGCCACGCGGCATGAAATAACTATTGTTCAAACTAATTTTGGTTATCTGCGAGGTTTCGCGATTGGGACCGAATACAAGTATTATATGTCCGGCTTAATCTACCTTCATCCTAGTTGAAATTATAGTATATCCCCTCACACAACGTATCTCGTGACCTCATCCAATCTTTTTCTGTTTTACGTAGTAGGACAAATGGCACGCTAGAGTTAGGTTTTACGGATATGTGATCAGAAATCACAAGTAGATTGACATCCAGTTAGCGATGAATGAATATTTTCAGTTTTTTTATTGAAATCGCATTAGTGCAGCCAGTGTATCATATATTCGGGTCCAGGTTGTAAAATACAATGTTGATGACCTGGCACGAGGGTATGAAAACGCTGACCAGTGGACTGGGTCACATAGGTCC